CAGGAGGGATCCGCTGCATATAGCGTGTTCCCACCGGCGAACAGAGCGAAGATTGTGCTGCTTGAAACTCGCTTGCCAGGGGCGATATGCAGGAAGTCATCATGATGAACCTGATAGTAGATTGCATCTATCGAAATCCTACCTTTTCGGATGCCAGGATTACTAGTTGCACACATTGGCGTTGTCCAGTGTTGTGGGAGGGTGTTCCCCTGGCGATCACAAAAAAAGCGTCGGTGATGCCGGCAGCAGTTCAAGGTCACACGCGATTCGGGAGGACAGTCGTGCGCTGATTCAGGTTCATGGCTCGTTAGTCTGCAGAAATGCCAAAGAGATGTGGTCACTTTGTGTTCCTTATGTGTTGATCGTTCATTCTTACCTGACTACGACAATTCTCCACAGTCATAAAGCCAGACAGTCGATGCAGAGGGCGTCCAGCAGTTGTAGAACGACTACGTGTCAAGCGTGGGAAACTTCATGCAGAAGCTTGACGAGGGCATTGAGACGTTTGCCGCTCAGAGTCTGACGCTTGCAAAAGTCAGCCGTACCTGCATGCCAGGGCTCAGATTGGTCCTAGTGATATCAAGTCTCTTGTCTAACAAGTCGTAATTATTACTCATCTCTGTGGTACTAAGTACGAACCTTATCCATCATTCCAGCACTGTGGCCCCCATGTGTACGCTTTGGAGATATTTGAAGCAAAGTCGATGGAAATCACCCCCATTGTACCTTGTGAACGCGTGTCAAATTCTGGAGGACTCGAAGGCCACCCAGTTCTGTTTCATCAGCTCCCTAGAACAAGATCGTGCTCTCCAATGTGTCCAAGTCGACTCCCGATACTGGTTCTTGTCTGAATACGCACAATGACTAGAGGGGATATAAACATAGTTGCCCGCGCTGGTTTCGTGATAGACTATACTGTTAATGGAGTGCCCGTTCTCGCCAGTATGATGTGATACCACTTACGCAGCTCAGATGTCTCCCAACGTATCGAACCTCTTGGGAAGCAACCATTGCACTCAACGATGTCAATCTGCAGGGTGGAACAAACGATCAGCATCCAGGGCTGACTGATTATTCAGTTTTTGCTAAAGAAGAGTGACAGGCCTTACACATTTGAGGTTCCTGGGAGAAGCTACATTATGTAGATTAGCTGTCGTCGCAATCACGACGGGCCACATCTGTACTGAGCAAGGATTCTTCGCTTTCGCCCAACTGTACTATGTCACGATCGGAAGCTGCGAGCTACGCAGGCGTCAAGCTAAGTCTTGAGACAGGCTCGTCGATGAACGAGACTATGTTAAGGCTTGTGACCCGCATATCTTGAGGCAGTGCAGACCAGCGTGAGGAATTCAAGTAAGGACCATTGATTCTCAAAGTAGCAGGCACGTCATGCGTTCTTTTGCTGTTGCTCTACACTCTAGTCATCTGAGTCAAATCCTCCTTCAATTCCATGTCGGTTTGAAAGTGCGGTAAAAGCTTTTGTGACAGGGACGAGACGATACACGATTGTGTACATGTTCTTTAAGGAGGGACCATCGTACATCTGAAGCATCTAAGCTACTTAGGTGTCACAAGATGACGCACCCGGATATCTGCTGCGGCTGATAGCTCGTAGTGAGACGCCATGTTCGTGATACAACACAATCACTGATCGTGAGGGCCATTCATCAGTCCGAGCCATGACACAGTCGGTGGCGCGGTCTCATCTCATATGGTGCTGAGGTTCTTGCTGCGGCTCTGTTACACCACCAAAAGCCGGATCCACTATGTACCTCGTCCTGTAGTTGTAGTGGTGTGTTGAACATGGTGGTAATTGCCGGTGCGAATACCTACCATCGAGTAGTGTAGTTTGTCGGTCGTGAGTGCGCCACGGAAATCTCGTCACCAGGTGCCTGTTCAACAATAACGCTTGTCTCAACTCGAATCCTACAATCCAGTGGACCCTTTCGCGAGAAGTTTCGCCGTCCTTGCGGCGAGACCTTCTGGTCACCCTGCTGTGGCGCCTCTGTTGTGACCGACGCAGCGTGTTCCCCCCCCACGTCACAAAGCCCCAGTTCTTCCAGTTCTTCTTCATCATACCCTTCTTCGTGCGGTCCTCTGAAACGTGGAACCTTGTGGGAAGCCCCTCTGCCATACCCTTGTTCAGTGTGACTGGGCAGCTTGTTTGCTTTACTGCTATCCTTGAGTCGAAACATGCTACGGATACCGCTCATGATGGGACGGAAAGTGATGATCAAGCATGAAGACACAATGCCTAGTGATGGCTCGAGTGAGGTCCAGATCTGGGCAGGTCCCAAAGCCCACGTGATGTCGATTTCATGCATCATACGAGACATGTAGATCAATCGGATGATTGCCGCGATTACTACACTTTCGACATAATTTTAGTATACAACCAGTATGGTATCCAGAGATGGCATGTACTTACAGTGTACCCAAGGCTAAGATACCCATGACGCTGAGCTTCTTCGTCCAAGACATCTGTAGGGACCAAATCCATGGGATTGGTAGAAGCAGGATGATCAGATCAAGGGCTGCGCTACAGATACCCGTAAATATCCACATTGACAGGTAATCCATGCAGCTACCATTGCTCGCACCAGTATATTGATCCCAGAAGTGGTGCAATGGTCGACAGGCCACCGTCATCGGCAACCACACAGATAGGGCATACATGCAAGAGGCAAGCGCGCAGGCAACCAGGCTCCGGTCGATCCACGTGCGGCACCTTATTGTGCCGCGCACCGAGCTCAACGAGAATATGCGCATGTAAGTCCAACAGAATGATAGTTTGAGGCCGACCGTTGCGACAACGTAGATCCATGGATAAATAAACAATGCCTGAAGACATGGTATCGACCGTCAGTCCCAGGTCTTGGAATCCGCTTGCGACTTACGATTGACATTTTGCGTAGTGAGGGTGTGCTGGTGGCCCAGACATGCTTTCCTGCTCCGAAATAGTTACTGGTGAGCGTACAGGCGGCTGTGCCATACTCCCCAAGCTTTCACACGTTATTCGTCAGAATGTTGAGCCCTCGCGTTTGACTTTCGTCGATCGTACCAGAGCCATCAGAATGAACCAATCGTCGCCGTCCAGCCCAACACGCTGTCTCTTCTTGACAATGATACGGAAAGCGACAGCTAATGTCGCGATGGTAGCGAGCACTGCTACAACCGAGTCATCCAGGACCTCCTGATTGGCCTGAAGATCTATACCAGGCGGAGGGCTTCCATAAAGCTCTGTCACTGATCGGGCCATTGCAGGTCAGTATACTTGCCTCAGACTGAGGTGGTATAGATGTTTGTTTCGAGGACACAGAGGACTTTGAGGAAATGTACACTGTTGCCAAGTGTATGTGGTTGTTCGTAGGTCAGGGCATCGCAAAGCTGGTGGAAAAGGAAAGAAGATAGTGCAGGGAGATATGTGAGGGCTTATGCGGCATTTCCCCCATCGCTAGGGGGTCTGGCTGGTACTATATCTTGACTCAACAAGTCCAGAGCGGGTCTCCGGCTCAATTTTACCTGGTTTTGACAGAGGAGCCAAGCAGGATCATTTGCTTGTACGTGAATGATGTATGCAGAACATGGTGACGCACGCAAGAAACCTAGGGCCGTATTCGGAAACAGTGTATCCAACGATACCCGAGACCCAGGGCTGACCGTGAGTAAAAATTACGGCTTGAAAAGAATCGTCAGAAGTGGATCGGTATCGACAGCGATCTACCGCCAGCGTTTGGCCAATTTACTCCATACATAAAGAACTACGACAAGTATATTGCACGACATACGCCAATTATGGTGCCGCTATCTCCTATGTTGAGCCGCAGGAAGATTGTGATCAGCAGCGAATGTCTCTCGAAATCATCTTTCTGTGCGGCACGTTCAATAGCGTATTTCTAACAGCCGGATAGTCTATACACAGAGTCTTCTAATCGTGCTTTGATCAAGAGCTTGGCACATAAACTCGGGCGCTTGGTCTGATTTCGGGAAGCTAACCTCGATACCCATACATCGAGCCTCTCGCTCTCGCCTATATACTGTCACACCCGGGATCTGTCGGTTTTGCATACCTGCACCAGACTGGATCCTTTTGCAGCTTCTCAAAGTTGCACTGATCCAAACCAACCGCGACTTCCATACCCTGTCCCTCCCCTTTGGTGACCTTCGGATAAATCATACTGAGTCCATTGAAAAGACCCCTCTTGGAGAACCTGACTCGTTCGATTTTTCCGATTGCAGGGCCAAAATCAAGGTCGTAGATATCCAATTTGTACCACGTGCTTGTAAGGCAGTCGCTGCCCATCAGATTCGGGTATGAAGCCGACACAACGTGATCATATCCAGGAATGGTGTCAAGGAGCGTGACGAGCGACTTGACGTACTCTGGCGTTCTCTCATCAACCGCTTTCCTGACCTCAATGGCAAGAGAGCCGATGCTCGAGGGTTCGCGAAGATCCCTGATGGGGATTGCCGCACGAGCGTAACTCATGGGACAGCCAGGGTAACGCCGTGATAGAGCTGGTGTAGAACGAAGTCTCAGATCGACGTTGACGATATGATAAGAGAGTTTGGTTGCGTCCGGAAACCTTTCGGGATCATTTTGCGCCCGATATACCGCGTACCAAAGCAATGCAGTGACCATATCGTTGGTCGACAAGCTGCGCATCACAGCTTCATCGCGTCCAGGGTGCACCATAACGTAGTCTTCCTTCAGCTGGACCAAAGCTTCGGGAGACAATAGGTAGACCCGAGATTCATGCGTTTCTTTCATCGCTGTTTCTCCGAAAGTAATGGGTTCGGGACTGATGATGAGTTCAGGATGGTGTTCTGGCCGGCCCATTTTAGCGGTCGGCTTATGAGAAGCGATGTGGGCGGTCCGGTCGAACGTTTCGATGGGCAGAGAGTCGCACTTGGGAATGCTATCATCTTGCGAGTGACGACAATTCTGAGCCCACACCCGTAACACCTCGGTCAGGCCCTGAGCATCAAAGATCGAGTGATGACATTGGGCGGCCAGAATGAAACCACCGTCGATGATGTTCAGCTGAGGGACAAAGACCGGTTGCTGCTTGCCCACCACCGGAAAAACACCGCGATGACAAAGGTCCGTAGGATTGAGTCTCGACTGGGGAAAATTCTGCTTTCGTAATTCGTCATAAACTAGACCAGTCCCACGAAGATCCTTCCTTATCAAGTCCCCAAAAGATCCAGGACTGAGAGCAATCTTGCCGGTCGGTTTTTTGCCATCGTCGAAAGGCACAATCTCACACGCGAGGGACGGGATGGCCTGGCGGGTCGGCTCCAGGCTTGTGCGAAGGTGATGAAAAACATGCTCAGGATCAACGCCAGGAAGCGATTTGAAGAAACACAGTGGAGAGTAATAGCCACGCGGATTCGATTGCTCGATTTGAGACAGGTCGAGGGGATTCGCTGATGGACGTTTGTGATCAAGGCCGTCTTGCACATAGAACGCTGCCGTGCTAGCAGATTCGGCAACCGTATCTTGAGGCAAAGTGGCGCCCATTTTCCAGAATCAAATCACAATTCGAAGGTACAAAGACGATCTGTATATGGAGCGGCGCCATTGGCCTATATACACGGCTCGTGATTCGAAAGAGCATTCGGCCTTTATTGCGAACGGTCAGTCGAGGATAGCCCTCGTACGGGCTGCGAGATATGATTTGCATCGCGCTTAGAAGAATATAGGATGATATCGCCGTACAGGCGAGCCTCAAATGAAGACTTGATGAAGTGAGTGGAGCTTCGCGATGGGTCTGGCGATTAGTGCATGGGCTAGGTAACCTGTTCACGCCATCGTTTGCGTGCCGCAAACCTATGGCGCGTCGGTAGTGAACCAGATTCCTCATTGGTGGGGGAACTTTGACCTTCGGCACCGACGTTCCGTTGACGCACAGATGCGATGAGCTAATCCCGTTCCGGCTGGTCAGCAACGCACATCAGAGCTGTACGTTCGGGGGTGAAAACCTGTCAACCATGATCCTTGTCTGCAACACCGGAGTGAGCACGTGCCGTTCCTGGCGAGACGAGCGAAACGAAACAAAACAAAACATGAATAACGCTAGGAATTTAAAACACCGATTCATTACCAACCGCGCATGCTTTTGCCCGATCTGGAATCGAACCACTGTACAGCACTTCCCCTCTTGATTGATAGCGAATTGAACGTACCTCAGGGTTAACACGACTCAACACACTGGCAAGCGGAAGGGTAGCAGGAGATCTCGGTTCAATTGTCCGATGCGTGACAGATCTGGCTCCAGAGTGCGGCAGTCGTCTCAGCGGTGTTGAATTTGTTGCAGAGGGATGGGGAATGACGCAGCATGAAGCAGCATACTATAGGATATTTACGATATGCAGGATCATCACCAAGCGAGATGAAAGAAGGGTTTGCCACGTTGAGCAGCAGATCCGCAGAAGAGCAACGAGCTTACGATCTGTTTCCTGGCCAGATCTCCCACTATCTGTATTCTACCAAGTGCTTCCACCTCTGAGGGAAGTGTGATTGAGATCCGGCATTTTCTCACACTTCGTGTGTACCCTCCAACACCCACACTTTGTTGATCATCAGTCTAGCAGTCTCGATCGCTGATCAAGTCCAAGAGAGGCCGAAGCAATCGTATGCCGTGACCCGTGGAAGTTACACTCGACCTGCGAATATGATGAGGACGACACAACTATCTTTCATGCTTATCGGCTCCATCCCGGCTACCATAGCATTGATCAAAAACTCACACTTTTTCTGGCAGCGAGACGTGAAGACGTCAACCCGCTTGCTGGCTCTACGATACTGTCCGCGTTTGGGACTTTGTTCGAAGATGAGTCTGGAATTTCCATTCCTTGCTAGGTTCGCATACTGCCAATATGTTGCAGACCGAGACTACTTGTGCAATTCCCTTATGATCTTCGAATCACTCAGTCTGTCTGGAAGTCAGGCGGACTTCCTGTTGATATGTCCTCAGCACTGGAACTTGGATTGGAGCTCTATAGTAGGACATTGGTTGCGGAAAGCAAGACAAGAGTATGGTGTGAAGCTAGCTCCCATCCAGGTCAAATTCGAGGGAGAACACACCTGAGCGGACAGCTTCACCAAGCTTCTCGATTTCAATCAGACGCAATATGAGAGAATCATAAGTCTCGACTCGGACGCTAACGTTTTTGGAGTATGTTCGGAGGTACAAGAAGCTGTTCTTCCGCTCAGGCTGACACCTCCTAGCATATGGATGACCTGGTTTTTTTCCTCGTGTCCCTATCGCTATGCCCCGTGCATACTGGCTAGAAGAAGGTCTCTCATATCAGATTGCAGTGATAGAGCCCTCTGAATACCAGTTTGAGCGTATTCTCCGAGCTTTCAGACGTCGACAGGAGTCTGACTTCGACATGGAAATCGTCAACGATCTCTATGCCCGAGACTGCGTCATCATTCCTCATAGAACTTATGACCTTCTTACGGGCGAATTTCGCAAGAAGGATCACCATAGGCATCTAGGGTCGACGGTGGAAAAATGGGATGCAAAAAAGATCTTGGCAGAGGCCAAGTATGTACACTTTTTTGACTGGCCATATCCTAAATCGTGGCTCCCAAACTCGGAAGTGAAGAGACTGGAACTACAATCGGACTGCGACGGCGCTGAGTCAGGAGAACGAGACTGCTCTGAGCGTCGCATTTGGAACGAAATCTACCGGGAATATCGCGAAAGGCGTAAATTAAGCACATCCTTTGCCATGTTTGGTAGCAGCTGACCATCTACAAGAGAATATGTCAGGAAGAAACAACATCTTTGTGAAGTGTAATAAGTGCCTACGAGCCTGGTCATAACTTGATTTCGGTCAGGTGAAGACTTGCGTCGGCTGTTTGCGAGTCGATGATACTTGGTTGAGTCCGTCGAGAGCGAAATGTAGAGTCAACCACAGGGATCTTCGATCTTGAACCCAGTCTATCGATCATGGTCTGACTCGAGTTTATACGAATGGTCGTCTAGGTAAACTCGATGGGTAGTCTTTGTAGATGCTCAGCGAAAGTCGTAAGTGACATTGTGTCCACTCATAATACCATCCCACATCAGGCTCAAACTTGGACCCGGTATGTGTACAAAGCTCTTCACAAACAGCTTTTCGTTCGCCACTGTAAAGATGCCTTGACCGTCGTGCTAATCAGATGATCATCGAAATTTCGTCCGACTACGGTGTCGATCGTTGTTCCAGTGTCACGTTTCTGCGGCACACCGCGCCTTCTGTGGAGCGTCTCGAATTTTGGCCCAGTGCTGGAGCGATATAGATCACACCTTTTGTATCGAGTCGAGTTACCCGTACAGGGAAAGCAAGAACTTTGAAGTGAGAGAGTGAGACAGAAACGCTTCTGGCCAATTGTTGAATTCAGGGATGTAGCGTGGGTCAAGGAAATGATGATATCCTGGTTCTACTATTTTACTACAGACACGCAAGCCCGTCCAATCTATTCTGTGCTCTTGTTACTTGAATTCTCAGAGATCAAGACCTTCACAGTGATCCTAGAAGCGTCTTGATTACCACATACTCTAAGCTCTTCCCAGAACAGGTCCAGAATCGCCATCTTTTCCTCATGGTTGTCGTCGAACAAAAACATTGGGTTCATCGAGGATCACGTAGACCCTGACAAGTCTTCAGCCTCAAACCACAGCTTATATCGTTGTATGCATCTTCCCGGTACATGTTCGTGGAAACCGAGCTCTATAGCCCCAACTAGCTCGGGCAAGTCTCGCGATTCCGTCCTAGCTTGCTTTCTGACCTCGATCTTGAAGATCACTCCATCTATTGTTGGAGAGTTCTGGCCACCAAACGAGGTTGGTCGACCGATCTGTTGAGCGGGAACGATGTTTGCTGCTGCTGGAGTCGAATTGCCGCTGGTAGTGGGGTCGAGCTGATCCGCCTAGTCATGGCTTTTCTGCGATGCGTTCTGCAGATCTCGATCTTTCTCCTGCGCCATGGTACCGATGGATGACTAGCTGTGTTTCCGTCTGAGCGAATTTCGCTTCTAGTCTGAGTGCTCGGGTCCATGATACTTTGTACTTGGACGTGGAGAGGTGGGGTTCGACTAAGAACGGTACTCCTCTGTTTCGAGCGATCAAGAGTGTACGGTGTCCATGTGGAAAGCGGTGCTCGATCTGCTCTCTGGGTGGTTGATAATCTCGTCATCGAAGCAGATGTTAGTGTGGTTTGGTGGGGAGCAGTCTTGTCGTCGAAAACTACATCAAAGTGCTTGTTGGCCACTGAGTATATCTGATGCAGCTGTTCTCTGTTCGGCGTGATAACAGCTGCGGGAGTTTTTTCCACGGGTAGATTGATTGGAAAAGGGCTATAATCCATTCAAATGATATACAAAGTCTCGGTCACTGTTTGTGTAGACGAAAGAGCTGTCATATGCGGCTACATTAAACAAGGGGCAGATAGTGGAAAACGAGGGGTTCTCACACCAGATATGTGGGGGGAAATAACCAAAACACTCCGCAGAAGGACTTGACATTGGATCTCCGGCCCGGGGCCCCATTGCAGTTGCGCCTTTCACTGGCCAGTTACGCGTGAAACGTCATATCCACGCGTGTCAGTGGATCAAGCTAGCAATGCGCGGAGACCATGCAACATATGCTTCAGGACTTGTGTATCGTCTCGATGAAATTATGACGAAGTTCTTAGGACATATCCTGGTACCATCCATTTACGATCTTGACGAGGATCCATCATCCAGCCGCAGGCGACCCTAAGCAGTCTGTGCGGCTAGACTTGCCCTTCTCAAATCTTGATTTAGCTATCGTCGGCCGCATCAAGCCTGTTCGCTTCGCCAGAGCTCGGGAACGCCAATGTACGGCTCGCAAAACCCAGAAACTGGCAAAACGATCAGCGTCTGTAAACACATTCCAGACAGCTACATTGGAAGATAGTGTGCACTGTTGTCTCAAAGATCAATGTGACATAGCCAACAATTGATATAGTCCAACATATGGTTCACAAGCTTCTTTTGTTTCGAATATGCATTATGAATCACAGAAATGATGGCGTTTCAGAGAATCTGTCTTCCTCTAAGCTCGCAGATTATTCGATGCGTTTTTCGCTCTCGCTACACGATTTCCTAGAAGCTCGTTGCCCTCGCGGTGATGCTAGTTGCGTTCAAAATGCCATATTCTTCGACAACTTCCTGATACTAGCGCTGGTCGTGCACGTCTTCCTCACGATCATTGTCGAAGCAGAATCCTGTATGCTCGTAGGATAACGCAGACCACAAAACGTCTTCGAATTTGCTCATAATGATGCGGTGTTCGATAATGACTGGTAGCGTGCACACAAGCAGATCGGTACCCGTGAAGGTAGGAGACAAGTAAGACTGGCTCCCCGACAACATCATCTGTGACTATGTTAAGCACTTGCGGTTGACGTGCCAAGAATGGACATCGAAGTCCATTCTTGGCAGCGCTTGCAGTCCTGCAGCATTAAGACAGTCTCCAGCATGCGTTTCACGTCGCGTCTCGACTCTCGACGCCCATCAAATCAACTCGTCATGGTCTGCCTCTGTACACGCTTGAGGAAAAGAGACTACGACTCATTGACAAACGATGAGGTATGCAAAGAGCGTCTGGAGACTGCTGTTTCTATTTTGACACAACCACAGATATGCCTTCTGGATGAGGCGGCCTGCTTCACAGAGCACAGGCGGCTCCAGCTGCGACAGAGTCGACAACCCGTCAGAGCAAGGCGGGTTAAAGTTATGGCCAACCAGACTTCCTCTGCAAAAAGACCTAGAACATCTTCTATCATTGTACCGGCAGTCGTTTCGGTACCTCGAGGCGCGACCAAGACAGGTAAAACAGTCACGCGTCCAGGGCAAACCATTGTGCGTCACCCGTTAGGAGACTTTGGCATAGATCAATCATCTCGTACCGAGGAAGAGATCAGTCAGCAGGATACATCGCTCGTAATCCCAAAAACATCTATATGTTCGACAGAAGACATGAACGGGTCACAAGAGTCAGAGAGATCTATGCATAGCGGGCTGCCGCAGAAGACGGTGCAATACATCTCGAGCATGGTGGTGACTATCTTGTCACACCAGAGGTCGTGGATCGAATCTACCTGTATCTTCACCGCTCTCCTTGGCTCGAAGCCAAGTGGCTGGACAATCGCAAGTCACTCCTCTGAAGCAGTTGAATCCACACTTGCGAACACTTTTGTGCAAGTGCAGGTAAAAATACTTCAACATCAGATCTTCAACAAACTTCTAGCCTATGCTGCCAACAGCCTGTGGGCCGGGAAGCATCTCGGGAATAGCAGCGAGAACCTGACGAAGTTGAGGAGACATGGAAGTGGAGCAGCAGAATTTGTTCGTGCTGCAGGGAATGCTACAAGTATACTGTTACTGGTGCCTCCATCATGGTAAAAACATTTGACATCGTTTCTTGCTGCAAAGCTGATTCATTAAGGTTGCGTAAATCTACGAACGAGATTCGCACAAGAGTTTCGAAGATGAAGCAGTCAGCCGCCGTCTTTCCCTATCTAGAGCAGTTTGAAACACTCGCACAAACACTACTAGGCAGGCTGAAAAGAGGTTCGAGGCACTTCCCACCTGATGGATGGGATCGCTGATGTCTTCCAGAAATTGAGACCATGCATTCAGAAAGCTCTCATCTACTTATTCGAGGACCACCAGTATCAACACAACCATCCCCTGACACTCGAGAGTCTTATCCGTTCCAAAGACCACATGGAACCACAGCCCCTTCTCCGAACGACGTGTCTGTGTCTGGATCGGATTCGATGTCTCAGGTACAGCCATCCCAGGCAGCAGGCGACGGGAGCGTGGACCTTATAGGATTTAGTGACCTACACCGTACAGCATTGAGTCCAACGGCGCAGACCCAACCAGTATTCTCGGTATTGCATCAACACCCTAGTACCTCTCTTGACAGGGATGGCATGATGGCCGCTTCGCTCGACCCGACACTAGTGGGATCACCATGTTACGTCGACGACGACGGCAACCACATAAATCCTTTCATGCTTGTCTAGAGTGTGATAGCATGGCCAGGCCCCGAAGGCTGCAGACGAATTACGATTAGTATGCAGAACCCCGAGCCTGGAAACTGGATTGATTCAGAGCCCGAAATCACGACTCCCTCGCCCGCCTTGACCTCATCATCCTTCCAGGGGCACCCATTTTCAGAATTCCAATCCTGCAAGGGAATGAAAACCATCGGCTGTGCCATTCCCGTCAAACCCTTCTTGATGAACGACAAGGTATCTGGTGTCTCAGGAATCTTGATGACCGCCCAGTCGTAAAGAGCTTTGCTCAGGTCACTTGGAGGCTCGAGATCGATACTGAGATATGCCGTAGAGATGTTTCCATCATGCTATGTGGGGTTTAGCAAAGGTCGGGCAGGTCTTTACTCGGAAACTTGTCGTGTATTACGTCGAGCCACTTTTCAACAATCCGCTTAGCTACGTTTCCGTTACTTTTCAGGACCAAGAATGCGAACTTGTAGTTTTCCTAACACTTTTTAGCACATGTTGTTCCATTTTCATTCCATCTGGACGTACACTCTTGTAAAGATCCTCACAGTCAGTCTCACAAAACACGTCCAAAGCATGTTGCACTTCCTCTTTCGTAAGACAGCTGTCTATCCGGTTGGGAGAAGAAGATGTAGAGATCGACGACACGTTCATGATGTCCGGCGACGAAACAAGATCTGCGGCAGACAAAATTTGGTCCTTTCGTCCATGCGAAGACGACGATGATCTATAAAAACAGCCGCTTCGTGGCAGTTTTTGATTCGCCAAGACGTTTACGGAAAGTTCGGGTGGGGCCGGCGGGTAAAGGGTGGAGTGCGACTTTCACTTGCACCTCTATCCTTTCTCTCTCCGTCTTTCGGACAGTCCCACGTCTCTCACGAGTCTAGGCAACGATCCCCAATGACCTCGGGAATTTTTGCGCCCCACCAGGTCCATAATGCTGTTCCTCTTCTCGAACATGCTGATTTTTTGAGTGACGATCTACTCTTGAAGGTCGGCGCGATCTTGATCAGGGCCAAGGAGCATCGGAATTGGGGCATCTGCCGCAAACATCGCCACCACGAGCTCAAGCCGAAGGAGTTGATGGTCCATGAGACGAATGGACCAAGAGATATCTGTAGACCTGTCGAATGGAACCCCACCAGCAAGGTTTATCCTCATTCATGGCACTACACGAGCGGTGATCATCTCACGCCGTATGAGTATGGCACCCAGCCGCAGCCAGACATACCACTACCGCTTGCCTCCGAGCTGTTGGAAGTTATGAGAACCGAGTCGACTGTGGCTCTGATACCAATCGCGACGTCCTTGGAAGGGGGAGATAAGAAGTGGGTCGAGACTGTGAGCTCCGAGGATCGCAGCATGACTTCAGACCTTGTTCCCCAAAGTCGATGTTTCCCCCAATCTGAAACAGTGGGCTGGATGTTCTTCCCTGCCGGCCAAGGAGCTGTGAAGGCAGTCGTCATAAGAGAATGCAAAAAGAACCCCGTGACGGGATTTCACAAAGCCGAGTACACCTAACAAGTAGTTATCTTCCGAACCCCGACTGATCTTCCATTTTAGCGAAGCCATGAATTTTTTCTCAGTCATTGGTGCGTTTCCCGCCTTGTCATGATTTTCGCTCTTGCTAGCAGCAGAAGTACGTGGAGCCTAGACCACAGACAAGTGAGATATCCTTACTTCACTTGAAGAAAAACTCCTTACTTCCACATCTGATTAGGCTGTTCGCTTGAATGGAATGTTGCAGTACTGACCAGAGTTGTGACTTCATGCTGTGCATGGTTCACCCATCAGTCCCTTTGCGTACATTATGATACCGAGACCACTTCTTACTACAGCGCGGATACTCATAATCCAGGAAGACCGATTTCGCAAATCATCAAAGATGTCTTGACTCCAACACACAAACCTGAGTGAGACTCTTAGTCCAGTGCACTAGTATCTTGGATGGCTAGTCCAGCCCAGTGAACGTTCCTTGCTCGTGTGAGCGTTGTCTTCACTGCGGCAATCGTGACCATGATCGTCTTGCGAATGACACGTGCAGATCTGCATGCACCGAGTTACAGGCAGTACAGCCAATTCAACCAAAGGATTAGTGTCAACGACATGACCTCCCCAGCACATCAGGATCCATGCAGTTTCATGCAAGATTTGAGGGACATCACGTGGAAAGACCTTAATAAAGCTCCCCTGTGCTTTTGCAAACATAGACTCATCGTATGTAAACTGGCGCCATGGGACTCACTCGTTACTTATCACTCATTTTCTGCTGTCTTCCTGGTCCAAAGCATGAAGATGCTTTCCCTGCTAGAGATCATGCGCCCACGCTCTCCGCTACCGAGCCCCGAGACAAGGAACTCTCTTGCAAGAATTCGCTACCACCTAATGTACATCACCTATCTCAAACCTCGATATTGCTGATGCTGATCTTTCACAGAGACCGACTTCTCGCTTCAGCAATTAGGCATGGAACTGCGTTTGAGAGATCGGCAAATCTCAAAGTAATGGGCCTGGACGGCTTGTCGTTGTCGGGCAATAACGAGGACATTTGAACGGGTTACATACAAAAAAACCTTCAGCCATGCAATATGTCTGCTCCAATCAAAACTCTCGTCTTCTTTCCCTCCGCCAATCTAGATTGACGTTCTTCAGTCCTAATCAGTATGGCTCTTGCAACGAACTTTGGACATGACTCGAACCTTAGATGTCTTTACTCCTGCCTCTCATGGTTTTGCGGTGACTTAACACTTGGTACAGCCTCGACGACTCATGAGATGCGAATCTTCAGTCAATATCTGCGCAACAGACGTTGAAAGCTGCGTGGAAGATTTAGGCAGACGACCGTGTTGGCATGATCGCACGGCGCATCTAGTAAATATCAGTACGTCAGCCACGTTTGTGTCGGTAACAACGCATTTCCTGCACTTACGCAGGGTTAAGGCAAGGACGTCCACGTCAAATAGCTATCCAAGAATCAAACGCTCAGTGCTACGAACGCGTGAAGCTGACGAATTCCCTAAGACGCGTAGTAACGCGACGCTAGGGCGTGGCTTGCAGTGAACATATCCTCATGGACACAAAGATTAATCATCGCAGATGCTTACTTGCTAGTTGATTGGTCGGCAGAGATGAGCTGCAAATTCCTTCCTCCAAGTCTCGTTACCAGCCGGATGCTTGTTTCTCATTGTCTCGCTTGTCCGCAGTGACAAGTACATGTGCTATCAATGACAGAGGTTGTTCGTTGAGTTGGTTCTGAACAAGCTCATCTGTGTCGAATTGACTCTGTGAAGTAGAACGGTATCGTATGCAGGCTAGCTGTAAACGTCACATCGACAGAATGATTATTCGAGTCTCTGGTGCGGTTGCGCGTCGTTGTCGGGCCCGTTTGTTTCTCTGGCGCGCGAGGTCGTGCAGATATCGCACATCAGCCCGTAGTTTGCAAGCGGCATCACCACACCCTTGGAGGTCCTGAAGCGAAATGACATGTGTACATATTCACAAGGTCTACTATATCACTTTCACGCATCGTATGCGTGATGAGCTCGACTGCTCCAGCTAATGTACGCCCTGAAGCTTGGAGACCTCCAGCTTCAAGGATTTGCGTCCGATCTGCATCGGATCAGGGGTTTGGGCACGGGTTTGGCATGAGTATAAGATTGAAGCCATCTCTCGTCAGCACCATTCCGACTCTTCGCCAAAGGACTTGTACTATGGAGCCATTCAAGCAGATTGGAAAGCATTACTTACAGTATGTTCATTGCATGTTATCGGTCTCCGTTCACTAACGCCGCGCAGAGAGAAATGTTGTCTACTCTCGCCTGAAAAGCTGCTCATCTACCAGATCCCTCGCTTCTCGAACCTCCACGACAAAGACAAATGTTGGTTCATGGCTTACTGCGGAGGGCAAGAGAAAAAGTCTTGTGTGATGAACTCTCCGGACGAGACACATGATGTATTCTTGTTAGCTGAAGATGCGCTACTCAAAGTGTCGGCGAGCCTTGCTCTGATCGCACATTTGTCCGATGAGAAACCTGAATCCATGATACATATCTTTCATGTCAAAATGCGGGAAGTATCTCGAGGCACAGTTCTCGCACGAGATAAGCTGCCGATGGCCAATTTTTTGTCCTCCACTGGCAAATGGGATTTGGTTCTGGTGTCTGGCTCGGTCTTGCTTTCTTCAGAAAATCTAAGCTGCTGGACCGAGCTCAGTGTCAGCGAGGATACCCTCCTGAGTAAAGCAATGAAGAAATTTGTTGCGGATTCAACAAGTGCCCCGGAGAGGTCGGTTCGTCTCCTCGATACACAGATCACTGCTGACTTGGTGTAGGGTTATGCATGTCTACTATCTACAGTGCTTCTGCAAGGACCGAGGTCCACACCTAGCTCACGGCCGCTTCAGCCTTGACCGTGTATATGTCGAGCTTTGCCACCAAGAGAACGGTCCTGATAGAAAGACGATCGTTGTGGTTACCGAGAAGACATGGGCGATCATGAAAGGGAATTTCGAAAGCATCACTAAGTTGTATCCATTGCAAGATGCTTCTGACCTCGACGATGATCGCCTCCATTGGTTCAAATCCAAGATCGAATTCGTACAGTGGCTTGACTGTCACGATCCAGGTGCTAGTGTCGGCGAACATTCAGTCCAAATTACAGTCCCACCTCCATTCAAACCTCCAATCATGCCTTGTGCAGTCCTGAATGCGGATTTGAAAGAAGGGGGATTCTTCGTTGATAGCTGGCTCAGTTAGCACCAACTGGAGGGTGTGCACGTTGACAGCGCATGGCGTATGGATATTCCACTCTTCACCGTGCCTTATTAACCTAACGCATCAATGTCGCGGCAATGAAAGCAAATCTTGAGCCATGGCTGATCATTGCATGAGACGTCGTATCAGCTAGGACAGGTGCGCGCTCTTCAGCCAAATCTTCACTCTTCACGAAGGAAGTCAACAATCCATGGAAGTTCTTGTATCATGCACAAACAGATGGCCCACACGCGTACCCACATCTGCGCTTTTGAGACTTAATTATTTTGCGACGCAATGGAAGCAAGCAAGCGCCATCTCGTCTCGCGCTCTTTAATGATACCAAGGCGCTGCATTGAATGTATGCAGCACGGCAGACTCTGCATGTAGCGCTGGCCACCGCTAAAGCTTCGGGATGCGAGTTGCAGAATGGAGCATAGAATCCTTGACCGGCGCCTCATCATGGCGACAATACTGACAACACTCACACCGATATCAGAATGCCATGCACAGAAAGCGTGCCTCTCCTCTCCGGAGACTCACCTCCAGGTTCTGGTACTTACCGTCTGAGCTACTGGATCAAAGGGCTCTACCTCGCCATACCGAAGAGCAAGCCTGCCGCCAAGGTGATGATCTGCTGCTGTATACTGGAAGTCTTCCTGGGCTGCTGTTCCCTGATCGAATCCTTGATCATGCAATTCCTCGTCTCACGAGACAGAGCATTCCTCATGGCCTTAAACCGTCTAGTCTTCGAAGCCATTACTCCGATGGTTGGAGCGGCTATATCGGCCCTTCGGACGTTCACTGGCAGGGAGACACACAAAAACTTCATGAAAATCTTGGGACAGAGCAAGAGACACTCGTCAGACCATGACCAGGGGAAAGGTCCATCAATGAATAAGATAGGCGCCGTCGACATCTACTGTCAGGAGATCAGGTCACTCTTCCTCAATCTGACCACTCTCTGTATCACTCTGGTTTCCCTCATAGCCAGCGGCTGTTCTGGACGGAGCGTTTGGGTCGCCACGCTACCTTTCTACTCGTTGTGCGACCTTACGGTGATTGCCGTGGATATACTGCGGCGCCATCCCGCGACTTATGAGCTGCTCGCTGCGAAGTCGTCACTCAGCGGTCGATCGTCAGTGACTATGCCCAAACAGTCGAGCGAGTTCATTGAGTACTGACTCTGCTTTCAGACCAAAAGACGCGCAATTGGGACAATGTTTC